CCCGAGTTTTCCCGTCAGTTGGAAAACCCTCCAAGCCACGGCTTTTAGCGCAGCGTGATAGATTCAAGCACATCTGCTTGATTATAGTGTGCGGCTGACATATTACAGTTTTTATAGTCTAGAAACACACTTTCAACAGGCAAAATTCAACCTCTGGCCAGGATGTTAAGTGGCACATCGAAAGGAGTGTGCAGGAAAATAACGTTTAACCATTTACCGTGCAATCTCTCCTCTCTATAACTTACACAGCGAGAAAAGCATTGCTGCCGGACCAGGCAGAACATGCCTTTGATGAATTCGAAAGACGAACAAGCAGTGCGAATGCGCATCCAAACAGACTTCATCGCATTCTTAAAGACCCAGACCTTTTGACTGCACCTCCCTTCCCCTAAAGCTTTTCGAATACCTAATATACATTAGTGGCTTATCATTTTGAGACAAGGAAATCCTTGGAGTGTCTCTAACATAATCTACTGAGGTTCTCTCTATCCTTGCAGGATGGTAAGGTTTACTTTTACTGTTTCAACGTCTCTTGGCCACGGCACAGAAAGTATTGTTACGTCCATGTTGTTCTATGCAAGCCTACATTCGTCGCATACTAGCCTGGGAGCGTCACCGTTTAGTAAGGTTTTTGCGTAAGTACAACACTTTTAGACCAAAGCCTTGGACATTTTGACGGAGCTCTTGGAAGGAAAAGGAATTTTGGTGACTAGATGACCTTGTCTCACCTTGTTTTTTTTAATGAAACCAGACGTGATGTTGAGCGCCAACCACATAACGTAATCGCGCGACTTCGGCCATCGACGATCGGCGAGCTAGATAAGAAGAAAGAAAAGATTGCGTCAGGTCACTTGGTGCAAACAATAAATCTTATGAATATCATCACGCCATTGATCTGGCTAAGGACTGAGCTCAATTCTTCTAAGGATAGCGCGAAATTGAAACCCTATTCATTTGATGTTAGCAGCCAAGTGTGTGTGTGAAGACAATGAGGCGATGTTGCCTTGGAAACTTTAAAGTACTATCCTCTAAAATAACTATTATAAAACTGCTAGGTGCTTATCACAGGAAAATATGCTGACGAAAAGAAGGGAGGCTTGCTAACAGTATTCCTGCCAAGATGTGATGGCCTACTTTCTAGGTCCACCTGAATCTCAGACATATGTGTTCGTTGGGCGTGAATCATAGCTACGCGTAATCAGTGATACACTCTCATCCCCGGTGTCATCGACTCTAAGGATTGTCTGTTGGCCCTTTTAAGTGTTTAGAGCCTATGTGAAACGCAGATTTGATGGTTCTGACCCTGCATGATATCTTGGCAGTGTGACCTGTCGAAGAAGACAGCGATCAGGAAAAAAACCAAGGTGAATCAAGAAACAATACGAGGATTGAACTCTTACGAATAATGAGTAAGTTAAAAAAAAAACGCACACCGTATAGGACTTCATTATCAGATTAACATTGCCAGCAAAGACAATGGAGAGTGGAAGGGTTATTTCGGGCGCATTAGTTGTCAACAGCCAGTGATGCACCATCCGAGGCTCGTACTAGCGACATTTTTGATCAGAATTCCTACGCTGTAAACACTCCACTCTCCCCTATCTTTGCTGGCAATGTTCGTCTGCCTAAACTACAGCGGCCGATGGCGGAGCTCGATAGTGGGCCCCAGGGCAGCGTGGGACAAGCGAGTTCTCTTAACGATAGTTGAATGTTCCTCAATGAAAGACTTTATTATCATCTATACGGTAAGCCTGCTATGCCGAGATGATGAACCTATAATAAACATTGGCGAAATTCAGAACTGAACCCTTCTGAAGTTTAAATGACTTTAGAACCAACTGAAATAGCTTGAGTAAAATATGTGTGCTAACACTAAAAAGGACCCAGAGAACTTGCTAGTTGTGTAAGCGATAAAGTGGAACCACAGTTAACGAGTTTAGTCCATTCCAGCACCAAGCTCGTCATGTGAAACGATCGCCTTGCTAAATTTAACCAACCAAACTGCATCAATTCACTGATAAGCTGCAGGCGATAAAGGATCCACGCTCTGGGAGCAAAACTCAACGGCGGGCGCAGGCATACACACACACACACACACTTATAATTCGTTAACTCAGCGGAAGCCCGTCAATCTACACAAAGTTTCTGTGAGTGGCTCGCTCGTTGCTTGAAATGCTCGTATATAGAGCTGCCCGTCACCCAAGGCTCCACTGTAAATATACAGGCAAGAAAATTCGTAATAATAATAACAATTCAAATGTTTCTAAATGCTATACTATTTGGGCATGCACAGTGTGTTTAAAAGTCCAATTTTGCTTACCAAGAGGTCAAAGATATATTAATCTACCGAACAACTGGAGGGAGAATGATGCAGACTCGAGTCTGAGCGTTCAGTGGATGGTGGCGTCCGCAAAACTTAATGACCAACAACGCAATGATTCCCCTTTTTAAATCTGAAGGCATTTCCGCCTCGTCTTAACCAAAAGGACGGACTTGTTTGAGGTGACCTATGTAATCACGTGATGATTTGGCTTGACACGAACCTGACAATAATAATATCGCATTGTAACTACGTTAATAGCGTAGGGGTAACCTTAAAGTCTAAGAGCACGAATTAATCCTGGATTCTGCTGTAAGAAAACACGCTACTTCTCATCATTTTTTAAGGTCTCAGTCAAAATTCAACGACGTTCTCTTACCTTTGAATTGAGATCAATGAGCACTTGGCTCAGATGTATGTTGCAATCGCTGACAAACTGGACAACAACGTCGGTGAGATGTTCAAATGTGGATAAGACCCAATCCAGTCTCTCCTGCTTCTCTGTGATCTCCATCAGTTCCACAATCAAAGTGGGCAGAGCGGCCTCCAATCCACGTGAAATCATCCGTTGCTGTGGCTAGGAGGGGTAAGGTAGGAAAGATACTTCGCTGTAACAAGGGAAGACAACAGGTCCATGTGGATAATGTCAACGAGAGACACGTATTTTATTACATTTGAATGGAGCAAACTGGGAAGGTTAAAAAACATAGACACATTCTATCGTCACCTAGGAAGTACCCAGAAAAGGCAATTACAGGCGTCTTGCTCTAGAAAGACTCCTAATTGTAACAGAAAGTAGAGGAATAATGACGCACACTACCGAGCTGGCCCATTTACGATTCTGCGATTGCCGACCAAGCCCTCAGCCCAAGAGAAGGCACCTCTCGAGATAAGTGACTGTCAACTTGAAGAAGTAGACAGTTTCAAATACCTCGAAGAGAGGTTGCTGCCGGATGGACACAGTAAGAATTGACGCAGCTCGATGAGTTTCATCCAACCTTCGAAAGTGCCTATGGACCCGACGCGATATTTCTATGTCCACAAAGGTCTATTCTTCTTCTAAGGCTGGGCTATGCGCGTGGAGGATGAGCGGAAACTGGAAGTTTTTGAACATCACTGCTTGAGGACCATCCCCCGAGTGAAGTACATCGACTTTGTATCGAATGAGAAAGTCCGCACTCGCTGCGACAACATCGCAAGGATATCCCAGGCAATCCAAGAAAGCCGGATGGGGTGGTTCGGACACGTTCTACGCCGTCAACCTCACGCGCTTAGTGTTACTGCCCTCGACCCGAAACAGTTACCTAATTGGAAACGTTGAAGGGGGGTCAACTGAAAATCCGGCTCTACTCAGTCCGCCAGGACATGGAAGTGGTTCTTAGACCCTCGGTATTCGGTCTCCGGCGCTGGTGGAATGGCTCGAACTGTCCAGGTCTGCGGCCACAGATCTTCGCGCGCAGAGAAGCACCGTACGGGACATAATTGGAGCCGGCTAGATCAGTCATGATCGCAGTCGCAACAAGTGCAAGTAAAGTACTCAGCTGTCAGTGTACAAGTAGCACTGCATTACTGATGAGTAAAATATATCGAATCCAGCATGTCCTCCATAGCACTCGGATTTGATAGTCATCCAGCACACGATCGGTCTCAGCGTAGACAGATATTTGGGTAAACAGAAAGTATGAGATAGATCAGTACAGGGTACCTGCGATCCACTAAATCATGTGAAGACGCTAAGCTCCTCGGTTTTAGATAGACCGAAAGGACCAAGATTCGAGAAGGAGAAGATGAAGAAGAAAACTCGATAGCTGGGACAACACTTTTATCCGCCCGACGTTTCGAGATCCATCGCGGATTCATCATCATCACGGACATAAGCAGGAAGCAGTAGCAGATTCATTTTAGTGAAGCAAAAAGTTGTCTGAATGAGATCGTGCAAAAGCAGACCTAAGCCGAGAGACCTCAGGCGGGTCGAGAGTCGACAGAATATGGCACGTGGGGGTCATAAAAAGGTTTATCTTATTTTTGGCACGCAGAGCATAAGAGAGATAAGTCAAGTAGGGTCAGACCAAGTAGGTACTTGCGAGGCTCATTGTGTGCACCACCAGAGCAGCGTGGGCGCAGTAATGGTGACTTGCGTGTAAATAGTAACAGAAATCTTGCGCAGCTCTTACCGCCCTCTCTCTCTCCTGCCACACCTAACTGAGCTCGGTGTTATGACAGGGTCACGAAACCCGGCGGTGGAATCGAGTGCGGTGGCTGCTGAAGAAGAAGAAGAAGCTCAACAAACCGCCTACGCGTATCACACGGGGCTGGCCCAAGCAAAATGAAAAAAAACTAAAGTGTATTGAAACGGGGCAGTAACAACTGCAAAAGAAAACAGGAATTATTGCAACCATACAAAACATGGGATTTAGGCGCAGATACGTACAGTGCTCGCCGTAATGCTTTCCAGTATCCCTATGACTACCGATCGGCAGCGTAGTTGCCCAAGCACACTGCATAACAGCGGAAGCTGTCTCGTATTCATGTTGGCAGGATAGAGCTTTGCGTTCTTCAGAGACACGAAGGCAAGAGTGTCAATGTTTAGCTGAAATCCAGGAGAAGTTGCCAAGGTGATGCCAGCAATCGGAACCATCGACTGTTTGACTGTATAGGGATA